GTACTTTGTGGGTTGTAATAAGTTGTTAGCCTTTAGATCCAGGCATGATTTATTCCCTTGAGCTTGGATTTACTGCCTTTATGGAGTCATATTGCATGAAAGTCCTAGATCTACCCCTTTTGGTGCACTTTGACCCCTAAAACCTTCATTGGTGATTATCCACACGTAAAGTTGGAAACTTTACATGTAAACCAGGCCCTAGGAACCTAGATCTATGAATGACATGGGTTGGATTCAAGCAAAATCGTGTGTATAGTTTTTGCATGAGGCAGACTTGGCGAGTCGTTCATCTGACTCGGCGAGTCGAGTCGCGAGTCCCCGGGCTTTTCCCCTTTTCGTGTTTGCGAGTTGGAGTAGTAAGTCATAGGGTATGACTCAGTGGGTTGGAAGCCAGACTCACTCATGAAGTCACTCGGCGAGTCAATGCCATGACTCGGCAAGTTCATGGCAATCTTCTTGTCTCAAGAACAACTCGGCGAGTCATAACTTAGAGTGTTCTTCGGATGAAGGCGAACTCGGCGAGTTGTTCATACAACTCGGCGAGTAGGATGAAGGACTATTGGACTTGGGTATAGAGAAAGGGACTCGACGAGTTGGCAAGACAACTCAGCGAGTCTGGTCAACTGGCAGTTGACTGTGACTTGACTCATGACTTGTTAAGGGTAAATGGACAATTTACCCTGAGGGCGGTTAGCAGTATTTGACTAAGTGTTTGGTGGGAATTACAGTCGGAGGATTTCCGGAGCAGCAGTAGCAGACAGACCATTCCCACACAGATCAGCAGCTACTACGAGGTGAGTTACCTTCCAGTAGCGGTGGGTCTAAGGCCACAATGTCGGCCCACCAGTAGGAGATGTATGTTAGATGATTGTTTTTGTGATATCATCTAGGTTTGCTACTACCTGATATGTTATATGATAGCATGATATGTTGTATGTGATAAGTAGTAGAGTCCGGCTGTTAGGACCGAAGGGTAGTCAGACACCCCAGATACGTCTGACAGTATATGATGATATGTTTGCATGCTGGCTTTTACGTTATATGCGATATAGGTAGTAGGAGGGGACTAGTCCCCGAGTTCGGTTGCTAGGACCGAAGGGTAGTTCAGGCACCCCAGATATGTCTGATAATATGTTATGTTATGATATATGTGATAGTAGCAGTAGGGGGTGAAATAGTCCCCGAGGTTCGGTCGTCAGGACCGAAGGGTAGTCAGCACCCCAGAATGGCTTGACATGGGTAGTCAGCACCCCATAATGGCTTGACACGGGTAGGTCGGCACCCCAAAATGGTCGTACCGGGTAGGTCGGGCACCCCAGAAATGCCTGGCAATATGTATGATATGTGATTGTATGGTATGCGGTATGATGGGGGAACTCACTAAGCTTCGTGCTTACAATTTTCAGTTTTTGTTTCAGGTACCTTTCCTTCGAAGGGGAAAGAGTTGGTGCGGTAGCGGCCCATCACACACATGCTCCGTATTTCGCATCATGAGATCTTCGTGGGGATCTGTACTCTGTCATTATTATGTTTCATGAAATGTTTTCTAGACATGCGTTATCTTTATAAAATGTTATGATCAGTAAACGTTTTAATTCGAATGTTTTGCTAAACATATGTTTTCAAAAATGAAATTTTTGGCTCGTATTTTTGGGGTGTTACAATAATCAACAGGTAGGGAAGAGCATATGGACCGGGGAACCGGTCGGAACCGGTACCGGAACCAGAACCGGCACCGGAACAGGAACCCGATGGAACCGGTTGGGCTGGGACCAGGATGTTATTTTTGTGGATTTTTGAAACCGGGAACCGGTAGGAACCGGAACCGATATAACCGGAACCGGTAGAACCGACAAAAACCGGAACCGTATGATGTTATTTTTCGAAGATCGGTTCCAACATTTGAAGACACGACAAGAACCGATAGGAACCTGGAACCGGAACCGGTAGAACCGCCGAGCCGGTTCGGTTCTTGAGTTTGGCCGAAGCCGGTTCCCGATTCCGGTCCTGTTTGGGCCGGTTCCGGCCAGTTCGATCCTTTTGCTCATCCCTATCAATAGGTAAATAAAAAGAAAATTAGAAATAGAATAGGGGCATGTTAGTCATTTTAAATGTTTTTAACAAAGGGTTACTATCAGAATTAGATGAAAGGACCAAAACTACAATAATTTAAAACTATAAGGACTCGACCTATCAACTTTTCATAGTTTGGACTAAAACTTTGAATTTAACTAAACCACAGGGACCATTTCTGTACTTTACTCTAAAATTTAATATAGTCATTTTAGATGATTTCAAACTAAAATTGCAACAACCGAAAAAGTTTTAAAAAGGGATAATGACTTAGGAGGGTAATAAGGTTTCCAGCTTGTCCGTATTAGGTCACTAAGGTTTTTTTTGTGCGTATTAGACCAATATGGTTGTTATTACCGTTTAGAAATAGTCATTTTACCGGTTTTAACGGGTAAAAATTACTATTTCTAAACAGTAGTAACAACCATATTGGTCTAATACGCACAAAAAAATCTTAGTGACCTAATACGGACAAACTGGAAACCTTATTACCCTCCTAAGTCATTAACCATAATTATTTAGAAAATATGCTTACTAATCAATGTGACTGATTTGTTTGACTGAAAATAGTTGCTTCCATTTAAACTTATCTCACAACTCTTCCAGAACTTCTAAATCCAGAAACCCATATGATTGATGATCTTCATTACATAAATATGCAACATTTTATCAATAACTTCTTTTTTATCATTTAAATGTTTACATGAACACATCCATATGTACAAAAATAAAATCTCACTTTGATACCTCCCATCAATGTCTACATTTGATACCAAATGGAAATGTAAAACCAACAGGGATTTGTATAGAATGTCTATTATCAATTATTTTATAAAAGCAAAACCACAACATAAACTAAGAAACTGAAGTTACAAAATGAAAAAAAAAAAAAAAAAAAAAAAAAATTAGCACATAAACAAATATATACATACTATATACAACACATAAACGAAAGTTATAAAGCATGAAACTTAATGACAGGAAAAGTAAAAAACTTAAAGGAGACTTTATAGAAAGAAAGATCACCCTTACTTGCCACAAATGGTTGAAGACATCAATAAGAAGATCAATCTGGCCATAGAATCCACATGTTGTCTCGATTTGTGTGTGTCATCCTTGCGCAGGGGTCATGCTAATCTTCTCTATATTGTTCCAATTTTATCGGATGTCCCCAAAGGGACGACTATAGATGAAGAGCTTCGCTATATAGAGAGAGTAGCAGGTTATATGGGACGACACGAGTTCTAAACGAAGTAGTTTACTGTTGATGGTCATATATTCTCAATTTCTTTAAAATTAGGGTTAATGACTTAGGAGGGTAATAAGGTTTCCAGTTTGTCCGTATTAGGTCACTAAGATTTTTTTGTGCGTATTAGACCAATAGGTTGTTATTACTGTTTAGAAATAGTCATTTTTACCCGTTAAAACCGGTAAAATGACTATTTCTAAACGGTAATAACAACCATATTGGTCTAATACGCACAAAAAAAAAAAACTTTAGTTATTTAATACGGACAAACTGAAAACCTTATTACCCTCCTAAGTCGTTATCTCTTTTAAAAACATTTGAATGTAACCTATTAAGGCTAGTTGGCTACGGAAGTCACACTCAAAGTGCAAAGTTGATCACATCATATGGACTATATTAATATATTTGATCGTGGATTTAAATTCAAAAGTTAAAAGAGTACAAATAAAATAAACTAGCAAATACATACAAAGAAAATAATTAATTACTAATTTCAACTTTAAGACTATATAAAATGCACAATAGACTTTATTTTGACAACGGCCAAAACACTCCCAATCCATCTACTCTAAATAAATAAATAAAACTTATTGCATATTTATGATACTTCCATTTCTAAAAAAGGAAAAACTTTACCATTTATTTTTAAATATCGTTGATTAAAGCATTTCCAAAATAAATAAAGAAAACTTAGTGTGCGTGTAGTTGTGTAAAATTATTTTATTTTTTAAGAAAATGTTTTCTGTTTGTTTTCATTTTTAATGATAATTTTAAAAAACGCGTTTGTTTGAAACCGTAGGAGTTTTTTTTCCATCTTAGAAATTTGGAAAACTGTAAAAAACACTTATCTAATTTACATACAATTTAGAAAAATGAAAATTTTTATTTTCTTGAAAAATTTTGGAAAATTGAACGAACCAAACGTGTTTTCAAAATTATCGTTTTTTTTAGAAAATTTTCATATAAATCTGGAAAATTTTCCATAACCAAACGCATTGTTAGCTTTTTTTTTTCTTTGTACACTATGTACCTCTATAGATATGACATCAAAAAATTAATATACATTATCTTTTCAACTCTAGAAAAATTTAATATACATTAATATGTAAGAAAACCAAATATACCAAATGGAAATTATATAGACACATGTTAGATCTACAACTGCATGTATGTTTGGTTTCTATTCATGTATCCCGTTCTAAGTGTCATGTCTATGCATCTATGAAGTCATGTTGTTGTTAGTTTGTTTAAATTTGTCGATGACACACATTATACCGAATCAAACATATTCATGATATAAATCGTCATGTTTATGAAGTCCTCGAGTTGTTTAAGATTTTTTAAAGATAATCCCAAAGCGACATTCAAAACTAATGGGACAATTAATTAAGTGATTCAAAATACAAACCCTACATACTTTTGAAGTTCATGGATGTTTCCAAATCATGGTAGTGTCATTCAAAAGATTTCTCCATGATAAAGGGAAGGAATCTTAAGATGTCACATTCCTTATCCTACCAAACTCCAAAATGAAAACACTCCTTTGCCTTTCGCTTATCTCACAAGACAAAATCATACAGTGCCACTTCACCTTTGCTTAGTCAACAAAGCACCCCATCTTCCTCCTTCAACCATAACCAATTAATTGCAGTCCTCCTTTACACACATACACACTGATAAATAGGTGACACTTAAAAGTTGCTTATGCTTCTTAAACAAGCTTTTTCAATCGCTAGGATAATCCCAAAGTATAGCTAGCCTTAATCAATCATCACCATCACCACCATCATCATCTTCTTATACATATCCAAGCCTAGTATTTAGCATTCATTGTGCAGAAAGAACATGTACAAGCTCGTTGTTGTTTAATCTTTTTTTCTTCGTGGAGTACAGAAAAAATGATCGAACCTGTTGCAACTAAAATACTCATAGGAATCACATTAGATCAAGAACAGAGCATGGATCTTCTGTCTTCAGCAATTTGTAATTTGGCTCGTCCGAATGACACTATCGTGGCTTTGCATGTCCTTGGTTAGTATGTAATAAACATGTTCCTTGTTCGTACAATCAATGTTTTTTTTTTCTTGGTGTTATATCATTTCGATAACGTTACAGTGGCCAAGAGGAGGAAGAAACACAAAGACATAAGTAAGAAAGAAGAGGGCATAGAGAAATCAGTCAACAGATATCAAATGCGAATTCGGAAAGCAAAATCTTTTGTTATATCTGTCATGGGAGAATTCGCCAACATATGCCGTGCCAAACAAGTAACTCAATAAATACACTCACAATGTTGTTGATCTTTCGCTTATGTCTGTTCTACACGATAACTTATAATTGGGGACTTAATATAATGTGCTTATTTCCTAGGTGAAGTTGGAGGCAAGAGTTGGGTTTAATTCAAGTGTCGGGGAAGGACTTATTGAAGAAGCAAAAACCATATCTCCTAAGTATCTTCTCATCGGAAGTAAAAGCAACCAATTAAACCAGTAAGAAGTCTATCAAGCATTAATTCAATTTCTGTTGCTAACATTCTGGATTAATATTTATTCGAGGTTTGTTATCATGGTTAGGGTCCATCAAGCAGAAAAGTACTGCCTTGATCATCATCCAAAGTCGTGTACGTTAGTTTTGGTTCGAAAATCTGATGTCCCACAACAAGATTTTCAATCTGGCATTGTCAATGTAGAAGGTTAGTTCATATGATATTATATAACAGCGAAGTTATACGTTGCTTTCACTAAGAATATCAAATTCTTATGGATTCTATCAGAAACTGTAACTGAGACTAATGTTTCAGATTTGTCAAGAAAGAAGAACGAGCAACGTTCACCTAGAAACGTGTTGGATTTATCTGAAGGAGACTATCATAGCACAGAAGAAGATAGTTCTAGCTTTGAAGGATCAAGCATAACAGAATCCCCACGACCTCAGTTGGCTACTGAGTTAAAAGGACAATTTTCTTTTAGAAAACATATATCTTCGTTAAAACGCATTTCATCTTTCTTACGCTACCCATTTGAGACTGACGCTAGGAAACCCAACGCGAAGCTTCCAATCAAAGAACAGCCCCCTCCTTTGTTGAAGTGCTTTAGTTATGTAGAGCTTGCCAATGCCACAAATAACTTCCACCAAGGTACAAAATACTTATGAAATGTAAATATTTAAGTATATGTTTGTCTCTATGTGTTACTATTGAGACACATAAAGACTGATAAGTATATGTAAACACATATATACACGATCATGTATACAAATTTAATTCCAGACACAATCAAGCGCACAACTAGACATAACTATGGGGTATGTTATGTACGATATGAAAGTCTAGTTATTGAAGTGTAAAAAAGTAAAAATAGAAGTTTTTATCATGCTAAAGCATACCCACGATTTGTTTTTCAATGTCAACACAAAAGTAGTTTTTATTTTGTAATAGTGTGTATCTAAAGCAGTAAATTAGATACGCCATTGGTCATATAACTGTTATACATACATTGTGAACACTGAAAATTCCAAAGATATGTTCTTCGATTTCGGTAGTTGTCAAAAGAAAATATGCAATCTGAGTATCTAAGTATTTCTTTTCAGATAATATTGTGGGTATAGGAGGATACTCAGAGGTATACAAAGGTGACTTACAAAATGGACAAGTAATCGCAGTGAAAAAGCTAGCTAAGGACAACAAAGATCAAAATAAGGAGAAAGAGTTCCTAATGGAATTGGGAATTCTTGGACATATTCACCATCCTAATACTGCAAGCTTGGTCGGCTGTTGTGTAGAAAATGGACTTTATCTCGTCTTTAACTACTACCCTAATGGAACTCTCTCCTCAGCATTACATGGTATGAAAAACTAAATTGAAATATTTATCATTTCTTTTTTCTGATTTGTCCCATTAATTGTTATAATCTAGGAAAAACAAAAAAGCATATAAACTGGCCAGAAAGATACAAGATAGCTCTTGGAATTGCTAGAGGTTTACATTATCTTCATACATGTTGCAAGCATCGGATAATACACCGTGATATAAAAGCATCAAACGTTCTTCTAGATCTAGACTTTGAACCCCAGGTGAGGAGAAAGGTGGCTACTACGGAAGGAAAGTTTGAAGTTTTCCATTTATCAGCTAATTAAAGTTATTTTCATGTAATTATATGTGTAGATTTCAGACTTTGGTCTTGCGAAATGGCTTCCAACCAATTGGACACAACATGCTGTAATTCCTATTGAAGGGACTTTCGGATACTTAGCACCAGAGTACTTTATGCATGGGATTGTTGATGAGAAAACCGATGTTTTTGCTTTTGGAGTTCTTCTTTTGGAGATCATAACGGGGCGTATGCCTGTGAATTCAGACAAACAAAACCTTGTATTGTGGGTTAGTAACGATATCATCCTTTAATTAAGCGACATTTGGTTCAACAATTTACTGGTAGAAAAGACACCCAGATGTATGACTGCTAAAAGTAAATTTACATATATAAATAATGACGTAAGACTTTTTTAGTCCAACAGAGTCGTTATGCAGTTTCTAAGGAACCTCTGAGTTTGTTATGATAACGCACGAGATGATATATTGAACATATGTAATGATAGGGATGTAAGTGAGCCGAGCTACTCGTGAGCTACTCGGAATCGACTCGTTAAAAGCTCGACTCGAGATCGAATTAAACGAGCCTGAGCCGAGCTCGAGCCTAAATATGAGGCTCGTTTATTAAATGAGCTCGAGCCGAGCTTCATTAATAGGCTCGCGAGCCTAAACGAGCTTAAACGAGCCTATATATATATATATATATACACACACACACACACACACACATAGAGGCTCGTTTAGGCTCGCGAGCCCACTAAATTATTCATGAGCCGAGCTCGAGCTTCATTTTAAGGCTCGAATCGAGCTCGAGCTCGAGCTCGAGCTTCCTCAAATTAAACGAGCCGAGCTCGAGCTTTGTCAGGCTCGGGCTCGGCTCGGCTCATTTACACTCCTATGTAATGATATAAAGATCGATACATTTGTACTAATAATAAAGTGTGCAATGTTATAGGCCAAACCACTTATGGACTCTAGAGACATCCATGGACTAGTTGACCCTGATCTAGAAGGTGCATATGAACTTGATGAAGTGTACAGACTAGTACTTGCATCTTCATATTGTGTACAACAATCGTCTGATGCGCGACCTTCCATGACTGAGGTATATATGTTACTCTTTGCCCTTTCATTCGAAGCGCAAACAAGTGTTTTTAATGATAATTTTTTCTCTTTCTTGACTTGTTAGGTGTTAGAAGTTTTACAATATGGAGATGACTCAAATTTCACAAAGAGTTGGAGGATACCAAAATATACACAAGAGGGGAATGAAATGGATGATTACTCCATGATTTTTGGCTACGATGTTCCACAAGATATTAGTCTAGATGAGATGTAGATGGAAATAATTATCTTTTTATAAGAGGTTGTAATTTTTGTCTTAATTAAGTAGCTCACATGAAAAACTAGGTTATAACCTTTCCATAATTAAATTCTTTATATCTTCATCTTTATTTTGCAATTCATCACCATTTGTATTGCTTTTTGTATGGAAAACGTAATGTATATTTTCCTTCTTATGAATTAAGAGTTTGTGGTTTAGTATTTCATTCATGACTTGAGGAATTTGTATTTAACCATGTGTTAACATAGAATTAGTTGTGGTTGTTAATGATGGCTTATGAGTATATCTACATTTCGATTTTGGATCTAAGTTTTTCTCTATTGAACATACAAATATAAATACCAAAGCAATAACCCTAGATCTAGCATATATACAATTTGAAATTCATATGTAACTAGGTGTGAGACTCATGCATTACATGAGTTTATTTTAAAAAAAATTAAATATAAAATTTAAAATAGTTGAGAAGTTTGAATTTATAAGAAAAATGAGAAAAATATTGAATTATAAAAATTAAAGTGTTTTTTTTTTCTCTTTTAAATTTAAACAAATGATTTAAATAAATAGATAAATGAAATTAATAAAACTTTAATTTAGTAATTTTGAAATTGGAAGGAAAATCTAATAATGAAATTGATATGCATTTATCATTAGATTTAAATTTAAATAATATATGGAATTTAATAAAATGGAAAAACCATAAAATGACATGTAGAATAAAAATTAATTTAAAATAACCATAAAATTACATATGACAAAATGAATTACAATGTGACATGTGGTAAAAAGATCTGTATTTATTAGAGTAGATATTAGGGTTTGATCATTATCTTACTTGTTATGTAGCAATAACAAGAATTACCTTGACTATTGAAAGTTTAGTGCCCCAAATGTTGCACCTCTAAAGGAGTGACAAACACTCAATGCAAAGGATGAGAGGAGAGAGGTGGAAAATCAACTAGGGTTCTTCCAAAGAGTAGGGTTAGCCGAAAATCCAAGGAGAAGCCTCCTTATATACTTGTAGTATTAAGGTTTTCAAGTGGAAACCCTAATTTTCTTGCTTATGGCCAAAGCAACTAATGGACCCCTCATTAGAAGCCCTTGGATGAAATCTATAATGCGTCCCTATAGAATTTTGTCCACTCCTATCCAATGGGTCGAAGAACTCAATTTCACAACTATCAATGATTTGCAAAATGGCCCTTGCTTTATCAATCAGTATCTTTAATTCGAAAATTAATTCTAGATTAATTACTAATTAATAATATGATTTCCAAATAATATATTAAACTTGTAATATAATAATAAAATCATTTTAAATACTAATTTATTATTCCAAATAATAAACTCAACTCTCTCACTCTCTCTCTCTCTCTCTCACCACTAGTCATCCTGTCAAGTTGTATGAGTGAATGCAACCCAAAAGGACCATGCTACAAATCAAATCAAGTACATATCAATTACAGTTATGGGCTTAGACACCTAATTCAACAGTCTCCCACTTGGATGAGTCTAATAACTATTATTGCATGTATGACTTCAAAATTTGACTAGCAATAGTAGCTTTTAAAAGCCGCTGTCGAACGCTGATCTTATCAATAACGCATCATTTAGATAAGTGATCAAATTTTCCTCCATTCTACAAGATATCGCATAGGCAAGAGACATGGATTGTAATCATTCTATTTTCCAAATTTTGTTTCCCAACTTCCGACTTATGACGACTGATTCAGACTACAATTTGAACACATCAACTTAGTCCAGGCTTGACCAAGTGCTTAGGGTGTCATCACTAAATCATCGAGGGGCCTACATATATCGCTTTTATCCCATTTAGGGTAAAAGGAACGGATAAACTTTGACTAATATGCTTGTACTATTTACTCATCAAATCACACACAACAATGTGTTTTATAACAAGTTACTGATGTGTTTACGTATTATAAATGCTTGACTGATTCGCAAATAACAACTATATGTCTCTATTTCAAGAATATAAGATACAATCATCTCACAATCACTCGTGATAAAATCCATTAAGCGATTCAAATGAGTGTGGGCTTAATCCAATACTCAAATCCTATTTCAGGGGTACTCACGAACACTGCAGCAAACATTTTCTATGTCTAAGCACTTAGATAATTTACAATCAAATTCATGAAAGTCTTACATCGTTACTTACTTCCAAATTATGATCGACTGTGAATATTTGAATAATCTTATTATTCGGAAAGTAAAACATGAAAAATGAAACACAAGATTAACCTAATCCAATATGGTCTCAAAACTTTTGAATATAAATAGAACACTTATTATTTAATCACCATGACCTTATTAATTGTTTACTGTTTCGTCTAATCAACTCAATACTTGAATTAAATCAATAGTCATCCCATGATCCAAGCATTCACACTATGTTTATCTATGGTCCTTCCTTTGTGAAATAGATCAATTGAACACATTTCCAATTATGCTCATTTCATAATTTCTCAATCCTTATATGTGTAAGAATTCAAAATTCTTGCCACTAATAGAATGTGTTAGAGTCTAACCTTTCAAGCAATTATCCCTTTTGTAATGTTGAGGTTCCAAAGTCACAGAGACTTTAACAATGATATTACAAAACATTCCATTGGAGATGAAGTCTCACATTTAGGGTACATTCCTTGAACATCCTTCTTGCATTAAAGTTTCTAACTTACACATAGATTCTTAATATCCAACTCCTATTATGGAAACATTTCCATAATTGCCATATAAAATATATTCTTAATAGAATCCTATCTATTCAGAATTATATTAATATGGTCCATCCATTACTATTCTTTCAACTATCCACAAGCAACCAATCCTCGGTAAATATTAGATTGTCTTTGACAGTTGTTTAACAACTTTAGTCATATCTGTTTCCAGTCCTTTTTCCCTCTTAATGCGCTAGTCGTTTTGAAAAATCAAAACATCAGAATATTATAGCATATGTAATCGATCCAATACCCAAAGCATATAGGATACGATTCATAATGTCTTACATAAAGACATGATATTGGACTAGTCTCTCGCTAAAATATTCCCATATATAGAATTTCCTATGTCGACACATTTCAACATGACATTCATACACGTTCATGACTAAGTTCTATTAAATTTTCAATCTAGACTTTTAGATTTGAAATGAAGTATAAATGCCTTCTCCATTAAGCCTTACTATAGTGAAACAATTTTCAAATTCTACAACTTTGCAAATTTAGAACTTTTTTTCCTATAAATAGCATTGTTAACTTGCAACACTTAACATAATAATTTTACTCCCACTAGCATAACAATTATGTTCTTATTAGCATAACAATTATGCTCCTACTAGCTTTGACATGTTCTCAGAAATCAACTGTTCTAGAAATCAATACCTATTGACTTTCTTACCAAAGTTTAGATTTCTGATACATGGTGCTTTGAAAAGTCTCTATCTAGACCTCTCAAGCTCACACACCTTTCATTAGATGGTTTATGTGTGTGTCTAAACCTTTTCATAACTTATAGCAATAAGTCCCGCATGTTTAAACCATTTTTCATTTCTCACAATTCGAACTATGAAGAAGGATGACGTAATCATACTTGAATTTGAGAATGTAGTTATCACAACTACTAACTTTAATCATTTAAAATCTACTAGTGAAAGTGTTTCATCACAATCATTTTCATGAAGTAGAGAGAACCTTATTGCCATTTAGATTTTATGATGTATGTGTTCCTATCCATCTGAACTTGTCATTTCAAACCACTATCATAAGACAATGTTTATGAAAAATTAAACTCATATGGATTAAACCTGCTTATTCTTAATTTCTTGCCATCTGGCAGCACAAGGGCCTACCGGTGCTTTTAGTTTATTGAGTAGCTCACTTACACTGATCAATATACTTTCACTGATCAAGGTGCTTTGCCATTATGCAGTCAAATGAGAACTCATAGAACTCACATGCATAGTCAACTTAACTGGAATAGGTATAGAAATAAGAATATGTCAACACGATAGGTTGTTAACCTTAGGTCTTGTGCTAGTGATAACTAAAAGGTTTATTCTTGTTTAGTTCTTGAAACTATTCAAGACCATTAAGACTCCCACTAACCTGTTGACATATAAAATTCTCTGTCAAAGAACATTTCTCAACAAGAAAATATTCAATAGTTAGTGTAGGTTCTTATCAAGAAACACTTCATATATTTGGTCTTAGATGGTCCTTACTTTAGCCAAAACATCACAACTACCAATTTCAAATGTGCAAGAGTAAGAAACATTTCTACTCCATATTTTATGATGTGTTATAAACCTACTTAGAACATATCACTCAAGGTACAACTTGGAGTAACTAGAGAATGACTCTAAGACTCGATTGTGGAACGAAGTATGACTTATCTTCTTGATTAACCATTTTAACAATTCCCGATTCATCATCTAAGCCATACAAATGCACTAAGGTGTCCTTAGAAGATCAATTGTGACATGGTTCCATAATCATTAGGATGATCATAAAACATGATACTTAAGTACTCTCGTTTCCTTTCAGATTGGAGAAACTTTTATCTTTCTTCCTAATTGATTCTTCCTATTATTTCTACTATACATTGAAACTTTTCAAGGTACTAGAATTACATTTAATCTTGTAAGCATAACCATATTTACTGAACCTACAGTAAATCATGAAGAATAGACTTATCATCCTTTTTGGTAGATTTAACCAGTCCACATCAATGTGTACTAGATCTTTTAGTCTTTCACTTAACTCACATATACATGTGAACAAGGAATTAGCCATAATTCCCCAAAGATCAAGATTCTCATACATTACACAATTCAATATTGCACGATTACAAGTTTCTGTCCAATTGAAACTTGGGCGATGATAATCTTTCCTAATTTGGTAAATTATGACACTACCACAAATGATATATCTAAGAATCAAATCCATTTCAACATTGCTAACAATAGAAATATAAACATCAATTTTCATAAATGTCATTGCAAGGAAACGTAAAATAAGATAAAATCAAAACTATTTTATTGATAAAGTGCGAAAAACTTGTCCTTACAATGCAAATATAAATGAAAACTATGTTTCTAGATATTCCTAAGCAATCTATCATAACTCCTAAGCAGTAGCTCAAAAATCTGATCCTCAAAC